GAGTGGGCTGAACACTCTTACTTTCTGGCAGGAGCTAGTCTGATGAATGAAGTATTCTTCTTGTTATGTGCCGCCGAGTTGACCATGACTTGTAGTGACTCTGTGGACAATGGGTCTGAACCCTGCCGTATCCTGAATCAACCTCACTGTCTCTGACAACACACTTGTCCTCATTGCCACAGTTGTGTGTCAGTCCATCTCATCAAAGGTCTTCCTCTCCTATACTGACCCTCTACCCTTCTAAGCATGATGTCTCTCTCCAAGGACTGGTCCCTCCTGGAAGATACCCAAAGTGTGTGACACAGAGCTTCAAAATCCTTGCTTCTAAGGAGCAACATGGTTTCACTCTCTCTAGGACAGACCTATTTGTTCTCTTGGCAGGCCATGGTATGTTCAGTATTCTTCTCCAGCACCACAACTCAAAGGCATTGATTTGTCTTCTGTCATCCTTAGTCATTTTCCAGCTTTCCAGTGCACAGCAAGCAACCGAGAAGACTATGCTCTGGATCAGGCACACCTTAGTCTCCTCTGGAGAGGTCCATGACTGCAGGTGTTTCCAATGCAACTGGTCTTTTGATTTCCTGACTCTTGTATGAAGAATTTTGATTGTGAATCCAAACAAGATGAATTTGTTAACGACCTCTGTTTTTTCTTCATCTATCATAATACTGCCGTCTGGCCCAATCTTTGTTTTCTTGATGTTGAGACACAATCCATATTGAAGGCTACAGTCTTTGACTTCTGCAGCACACACTTCAAGTCTTCCTTAGTTCTGGCAAGCAAGGTTGTGTCTCTGCATAATGCAGGCTATTAAGTCTTCCTCCAGTCCCAATGCCACATTCTTCTTCATAAAGTCCAACCTCCTGAATGATTAGTTCTGCACATAGATTGAAAAGGTATGGAGAAAGGATACATCCCTGCATGCTTTTCTTGATTTTGATCCTGCCATGTACCCTTTCTCTGTTCAGACAACAGCTCCCTGGTTTATGTCTAGGTTTCACAGGAGCACAATCAGGTGTTCTGGGATCTCCATTCTTAGTGCTAGCCACAGTTTGTCATGATCCACACAATCAAATGCCTTTGTACAGTTGATAAAACTCAGACATCCTCCTGGTACTCTGCTTTCAGCCAGTGTGTCTCTAGGTGCCTCTGTGTTAAGCAGCTTGCTTCCATGAAAGCACCTGGCATTTGTAAACGTCTTTCATTTTTCATACTGCAACCACCTTTGCCGCCCATCTCATCCCTCCTTTCTGTGATGGACTCTCGGATGCCATCACTCCAAGGCGATGGCCTTTCCCAAGGGCCTGTCGTACACAGGGCGGGCCATGGAAGCAACTTCCGTGCAGCCACACGTCACAGGCGCCCAGCTCTGCTCTGTACACAGTACATGTGAGGGTTTCACCAGACAGTTTCCCTTTGGTAGAATCAGCCAGAGGTCAGTGTACCCAGTTGGCAAATCCAGGAAACAGTGTCTGGAAGAAAGAGACATCATTTGTGCCGTGTATTGATGGCCTGTGTGTGTAGGAAGGAGACAGAGCAGAAGGGGACACTGGTGAGGTAAGGAGTGTGTGTACATGCAGAGGGACGAAGAGGGAAACCAGTAGACGTGACGGTCATGCCACCAGCAGGGACCTGAGACAGTGACTTCATGGACCATCTGGGAGAGAAGAGCCAGCCCTGAAGGGTGGAGAGAACAGCTCAGACTTGCCCTGTTTAAGTTACTCGAATGTGAGACATTCTATTATTCATGGGGCTTTCGAAGCCCTGTTATTTCAGGAGTGCATGACCAGTCCTGCTGCTTAGTCTGGAAGTTCTGAAAGCTGTGCACCATGCTCTTAGGGGCCAGGACGGTGGAACCTGGTCTCAGCTACTTTGAGCATGTTGTTGGAAAGGATCAGTCCTTGGACAAAGGCATCGTGCTGGAGAAGATAGAGGGTCAGCGAAGGAGAGAAAGACCGTGAGGAGGTGGATTGACACAGTCAGTGCATGCAGTCGCACACTGAGTGTGAGCATCTCCGAGATTGTGAGGCGGGCACAGGGTCGGGCAGGGTCCAGTCTACTGTTCATACGGTTGCTGTGGAACGTAGTTGACCCGATGGCACCTAACAGCAGTACGAGGAAAGTCCAGAGTGGTGGCAACTGGTGACTGAGACTGAGGTTGAGAGGGGAAGGAGGGCTCTTGCAGGTCTTTGGGACTAGCTTAGAGAGGGGACGCTCTGTAGGCAGACCTCTGACCAGTGTGTCAACATCACAGCCTATAAGCTGTGCCTCAGATGAGTCCCTGGTTAGCAAATAAAAGCAGGACTCAAGCGTCCATCCCTGCTCTCAAGAAACTTAAGACTAGCTTAGATAATTTTTTCATTGTTGTTGTGAAAATATATAGAACATTGCTGTTGTTGTTGTTAAGTGCTATTGAGTCGTAGACAACTCATAGCGACCCTATGAATGAAAGACTTGAACACTTGTATAACTTTCATTGTTTCTTCAAGTTCATAGAGTTTCCAGAGGCAAGTTGTTTTGGAAGTGGATGCCACTCCTATTTCTAAGCTTGTTTAATCAGGGAGCTCCACCAAACACTGTCCACTATGGGTAGCCATTATCGCATTTGACACATCAGTGTCACAGTGTTCAGCATCACAGCAACCACGAGTTACGTCTGTACAGCAAGTGGACAGACATAGCCTTTGCTAATTCACCATTTTGACATGTAGGCCAGTTACGTCAGTCATATTGTGCAAGCCTTACCAAGGTTTGTGCGTCACCAAATTTTCCATCACCGTAAACAGAAACTTAGTGCTTCCTGCAGGAGGACTCCCCCTTTATCCCTCCCTCCCTCCCTCCCGCCCTGGTCACCACTGATAAATTTCTGAGCATGGTCAGTGTAAGCTCTGCCAGGGTGGTTTCAGCTGCTTTACCGACCATTGACTGCAGAGGGCGACGGTTAGCAGGGATGGTTGGTCAGGAGACCCTGAGTGGCTGATGGGCACTCCGTGGACTGAGCTGACCCTTCCTCAGGCAGTGGCCTGTGTGCCTTGCTTCTCACTTCCTCTTTGTCACTGGGTAGTGTCCTGGGGGTTAAGGAAGGTTTATGTCACAGCAGTTAGTTCTAGGGACCCCAGCTTGCTGTCACGACAGTAGTGGTGGCCCCTGTTACCCAATATGCCCTTCCATGTGTAGCAGCCCTTGCTCTCCAAGCAGAATGACCGGCTCCTTGTCATCCAGGGTCACTGTCATCATGCCAGTGAGCTTTCACTACAGAGCAGTATCTGTGAGGTGCTGGCTGTGGCCTGGTTTAGTGCAACAATCACAGTCTTAGGAGTCACATAGACCTGGACTCAAACCTGGACTCTGCCACTGGACCCTAGATGTGACCATCAGAGGCTCACACTCACTGCTGTAGCATTAGAACTGACTCATAGCTGACCCTCCAGCCGATTGTTGGCAGTTATAAATCACATGGGAAGAGATTGCTTATCTTTCTCCCGAGGAGACACTGGTGGGTTCAGATTGCCAGAAAACCTTGGCCTCTGGGTCAGCAGCAAGGCTGCCTCTAGACGAAGCCACCAGAGCTCTGTGACCTTGTGGCCTTCCTGTTGTTGTTAGGTGCTGTCGACTTGACTACACCTCAGTGTCCTGTAAACAACAGATCTGAACCTTGCCCTTTGCTGCACCTTGTTCACCATCTCTGATAAGCCTGAGCCCATCCTTACAGTTACCGTGTTAATCCGTCTTGGTGGTGGTGGTCTTTCTCTCTCTCCCTCCGTCTTTCTCAGCATGACCTCCTTTTCCAAGGACCAGCCCTTTGAGAGCAAGCCCACCGTGTGTGAGATGAAGTCTCATCATCCTCGCCTCTGAAGTGCACCCTGGTTACTCTTCCTCCAGGCAGACTTGTTTGCTCTTTCGGCAGTTCATGGGATAGTCAGTACACGTCACCGGCACCACAGTTCAAAGGCATCAATTCTGCTGTTGTAACCTTAGTCTAATACTTTTTATTCTTCTCAATTTTATTTTGTTGTTGTTGAGAATATACACAGCAAAGCATATACCTATTCAGCAGTTTCTGTACATGAAATTTAGTGGCATCAATTGTGTTCTTCCAGTTGTGCAAGCTTTCTCTTCCTCCTTTCCTGGATTGTTCTTCCCTCATTAGCATGAACTCACTGTCCCCTAATGTTCCTGTCAAATCTTTTACGTTTCTGTTATTAGTTTGAATCCATATAGATAATTCTTAACAGAACACAATGCTAACGCCTGACCTTTTTTTACTATTAAGGTAAACTTTTTTTCTTTATTTTGAGATCACTTCAAAGGATATTTTTAGTTTAAGGTTTAAAGATTTATCTCAGAGAAATAGTTTGAAGAGTTTATCTACTCTCGGGAGCTCTGGTGGCCTAGTGATAAGAAACTGAACTGCAATCCCGGAGGTGTGTGGTTCAAATGCACCAGATGCTCTGCTGAAGAAGGAGGGACAATCTCCTTCTGAACCAGTCAGATCTGATTTGACAGTACACACACACACACACACACATACACACACACGCACACACACAAATTAAAGAGTTTATCTACTCTCTAGTGCTCTGTAAAGTGCAGAGTTTGTGATAATTTGAGATTCTGCTCTGCATTTACCCCCTTTTGATCAGGATTCTTCTATGATTTTTCTCTCTCTCTCTTTTTTTTTAGTTTTATAGGTGAACAAATTGAGAAAGAGTTGGGATGATTTTTATGATTGCTCAGGTAGAGATTGGTCAAGTTAAGACTTGACCCTTGGTTTCCTGACTTCTTGTCTGTTACCCTGTAGTAATTCTAGACTAAGGCTGAGTCTCCTCTCAGACCGCAGGAGTGGAGGTGAGAGTGAATGGTGAGGCTGGTCCAGACTGCCATGAAGGCAAGGCCGTGGGGCCTGTGGTGGATTCTGGGCATGGAGGACTGGCCCCTGCCCAGCCACCCTTGGATCTGGCCCAGCCTCATCCCCCCTTTCCTCTTTCCTCTTGCCACAGGGGAGGAGAACCAGCCTGGCTGGCTGTGTCCTGATGAGGACAAGAAGAGCAAAGCCCCCTTCTGGTGTCCTATCCTGGCCTGCTGTGTTCCTGCCTTCTCTTCCCGGGCTCTTAATCTGCAGGTGAGTGGAGTCAGACTCACCAGACATATGTATAGACAGCTGTGGTCTCTCATCCAGGAAAAGCCTGAGAGACCAGGTGGTGCCCACTGTGAGGGAGGGACAAGTTCAGCCCCAGCTTCCTGCCTCCTTAGTGATGGGCTTGCTCAGACCTTTGTGTCGTTCCAGAAGCCAGCTTTCCCACCAAGAAATGACCTCCGTGGGTCAAGTCAATGGGAAAGTCCCTTTTTAAGGTAACAGCTAGCAGTGACCTTATCAGCTGATGGCATGGCTCTAGCTCAGTACATGCTGAGTGGCTGGACCAGACCTATGGGACTGGACCCTTGATGATGCCCCAGGCCTGGGAGCTTTGGCACAGGGGCCCCTTGTCACGGCTGCTTCCCCACTTCCGCAACTCCCTTTGTTAGGCACTTACCCAGTGCTCTTTCTGCGTTGACTGGTTGAAATGTTTGTAACAATTCTGAACAGTTGCCTGTATATATCCATTTCACAGGTTAGGGAACCAGGGCTCAACAAAAACTCTGGCTTAATGGGTTGAGAGTTATACTGCTATCCCATAGGCAGGCAGTTTGGAACCACCAGATGCACCTCAGGGGAAGGGTGAACAGTCTCCTTCTGTGCAGTTTACTGCCTCTGCAAGTAGCTAGAAATTGGTTCTGATTTGATAGCAGTGGTTTGTTTGTTGTTGTTTTGCCTTTGAGTTGGAACAGACTTATAGCTAGCTGACCCTCCAGAAGCTCCTGTTGTTGTTAAGTTGTTAAGTGCCGGTCAAATTGAACACAACTCGTAATGACCCTATGAACAAAAGACCTGAACCTGGTTCTATAACTTATCACCGTTTCTCTAAGTTCATAGAGTTTACAGAGGCATGTGGTTTAGGAAGTGGATGTCACTCCTGCTTCCAAACCTGAATCGATCAGGGAGCTCCACCAAACACTGTCCACCACGGGTAACCATTATGGCATTTGACACCCCAGTGTCACAGGGTTCAGCATCACAGTAACCCCAGGTTACCTCAGTACAGCAAACTGACAGACCAGTGCTGTACCACTTAGAAGAATGTTAGTCCCAACACAATTAACTCCATCCGACTTTCAAATACCAAGACCCCTTCACCAAGTCCTGTTGATGCTAAACAAGCAGCTTCCTGCCCACAGCTCACCGTTAGCTAAATCCAGCCAATCCAACCAGCTCACACACAATTGTGAATGAAATACAAAACAACCAAACAGTCCACACCTCACCTTCCACCAACACAGAACATCCCCCCTTCCAGAATCCAGCCAGTTCACACATCAGCCTCCTAGGAGGCTGTAAATTGCACAGGGGGAGGTTGCCCATCTTTTCCACAAAAGACACAGCTGGTGAGGGAAGGGTCCTGGCGCTGGAGCCTCCCCTCCCATCTAATTGCTGTACCCAAGGTCTTAACTGCTAGAACACAGCCTCCACTGGCCATCTGAGGAGATTCTGGCTGAGCTCTCTCCTCTATCTGGGGCAGCTGCCTCTCCTCCTCTTTCCATCTCTGTAAGTGGATGAGGTTTCTCAGCTCCGAGGAGGGGAGAGCAGGCTTGGGACCTGTTGTCGACTTAGATTCTTGGTGGTTCCATGTACCATTGAGTGAAACGCTGCCCGCTCCCACGCCCTCTTCTTCCTCTCTGGTGTTGAGTCTGTGGTTTCTGCCTCTGCGTCACTCTCTCATTGAGGTTTTCCATCCACTTCTCCAAACACACTGTGCCCTTTAGCAACTGCTGCCCTCTCCTGATGGCGTGTCCTAAAGTGAGCTCTGCTTTCATTGGCTAATTTCTAGAAGTAGACCTCCAGGCCTCTCTTCCTAGTCTTCCTGCGTGCAGAAGCTCCTGTCTAGTGTGAGTGACCCTGCCGGATTTTGGAAAACGAATGGTATCAGCTCCAGCACTGCCACATAGTGCGGGCCATCACAGTGAGGACAAATTGACAGGTGGCGATAGATCAGAGACACAGGCCCCCAAGACACGGCATCTGGGTTGAAGCTCTGGACAACTGGGAGAAGATATCCTTGCAACATTAGTTCATTCATTGATTTGAACACCTCCTGTGTGCCCGACACTGGGAAAACAGTGACAGCCAAGACAGGTCAGACTTTAACCTTGCGTAACATTCGGTTTAGCAGATAGAGACAGGCAAGAAATCGGCAGAAGGGAATAGAATATGTGATGAAAAAAGATCAACCAATGATATAATAATACGTAGTTAGGGGCCACACAGTCAAGGGGTTCATGGAGAGACTTTTGGAGGAAGTGGCAGTTTTGAACTGACACCTGATGTCATGGTCTGGGGGGAGGAGTATTATCCTTAGACAAAATGTGACAAAATGTGATGCTTGAGATGGGGACAGTAGGGACTCAGCTGTGGCTCTGTGAACTGGGGTGTGGGGACAGTGAGGTCAGGGGGTGGGCGAGATGGACCCTGATGGCCTTGGAGTTCCTCCTCAGAGCCATGAAAAGCTGTGGGTGGCAGGCATGTGATTGTGACCGGCATGAGCTGATACTTGGGAGGATCACGTGATCCCTGTGGCTGCCCAACTGTGGTCAGGAGAGCAAGCCTGGCTCCCCAGACACCTGTCCAGAGCGTAGGCAGGGTCCTGCCGGGACAAGGTGGGACGTGGGGTGGGTGGGAACCTGGAGCAGGAAGACGGTGAGGACAGTGAGTGAGGCCGAGTTTAAGGAGGTGCCTCAAATCTCCATCATCAAGTTGAATCATATATTTTTAAAAAGTCTTTGTGGTGAAAATATACATAATAAAACATACGCTGTCTCAACCACTTCTACATGGCAATTCAGTCACATTGACTGTGTTCTTCAGGTTAAGTTATTTAAAGGTGGTTGAGAAACATCAGAAGGGCAGGCTCCTGCCTGTGACTCAGGCGCTTTTCTTGGGTAAATAAAGAGCCAGGATTAGGATGAGGCGAGTGAGACAGGCCTGTGCAGGGCAGAGAGGGCCCTGGTTTACAGAAGATTTAACAGTTACTCATCATGAAATTTTTAACATCAATTTTTATTTAAAACATGACTTAGAAATACGGTTAACTTAATTACTGAGGGTTTTTTTTTTGTGCCATCCTTAAATTTTTTTTTTAAATTTATTTTATTTCATTATTTTTTGTGTGTACCGTCAAATCAGATCTGACTGGTACAGGAGGAGATTGTTCCTCCTTCTCCAGCAGAGCATCTGGTGGATTCGAACCATGCATCTCTGAGATTGCAGTTGCAGCTTTTTGCCACTAGGCCACCAGAGCTCGCCAACCATCCTTAAATTTTACACACAGTGAGCACCCCACTCTGCTCACCCCAGCGCTGGCTGATAGAGGCCCTGGTGGAAGCAAGTGGAGTGAGAGAGAGGGACGCTGTGTGTTGGAGGAGGACAGGCTGACCTGCTGATAGGTCAGATGAGTGATGGGGTAAAGAGCAAAGGAGAACTGTGTCTGTCAGCTTGGGGTGCAGTGTTAGCCAAGCTGACTCGGGGATTCAGAAAGGGAATCTGTCAGCCCATTAGCTAGTGATCAGGAAACAGTTTCCATATTAAACTCAAGAACTCAAGAGTCATTGTCATTGAGTTAGAACTGACTGATAACGGACCCTCCGGTGGGTTTTCAGAGCCTGTAAATTACACAGGAAGAAGGAGCCTTATCAGTTATAATAGTAATAAGAGCGGCAATCTAGTTTTGAATTATCTAATCTTAACAACATGGTAGCAAGCCCGTCTGCCAGGTGTCTGTTGCCAGGCGTGCCAGGCCCCCGTCCTTGCCTCTTAACGGGGATTGGTTCTGTGGCGACCTGGGAGCCGCATCTCCGAGCTGAGCTGTGCTTCCTGGTTCCTGCCTGCACCTGCTTCCTCCTCCTCTCCTGGGGTTTGGCTGTTGTGAGTCTACATTGGGAACCCCCAGAACTCTGTGGAGGGGTGCTTTGTTCACGGGTATACACTCAGGGAGCCTGGCCTTTGCAGGGGTCACTGCTGCTTTGTTGATTAGAGGGGAGGTCCGCGGAGTCTGTGAGCACCACCCCGTTCACATATGGGGGAGGCCACAGCGCTTGCAGCAGGCTTAGGGCTTGCCCGCCTGCATCTCCCCTGGCTTCCCATGAAAACTGGCCCAGTGTGACTTCTGTAGTGGGGTCTCCTGTCTCCCCTCAGGGCTGTGAGCCTCCTGGGGGTACCGGGTACAGGCCGAGCCCTGACAAACCAGACCCCGGTGTTGGAGTCATAGTCACAGTTATCCCTGGGGCTTCTGTGAAGAAGCCACTATTCAGGTTGGGAGCCATCTGCCACCTGGCACCTCAAAGGGCAGAGACCAGCAAATCTCATTTGGTGCTCACTGGGCCACGGATGTGGTGGCTAGAAGCGTCCTTCACCCCCCTGGGGCCCTGGGTCTTGTCTCCCGAGTTGCTGGCTGAGAGGGACCCAGCAGTAAGTAGCTCATGGAGCCCCTAAGGGATGCCTGCCAATCTTCGAGTCCCCATTTGCTGGGCCCCACGAGTCTTCCCCTCTTTGCCCATGCCTGCGTCCTACCCTGGACAGATGCGTGCATCAGCTCCATGCCAGGAGCAAATGAATTAGGGCTCTGGCGTGTCAGGACCTGCTCCAGTTACTGCTGGGAACAGATGGGAGTGTGCCTGCTGCTGGGGTTCCCCCTTCCCAGGCAGTTCCCAGGAGCTGGTGACCTGGGCTCCAGGCTGGCATAATAAGAGCCAGGAAGGAGCCTGACTTTCCAGGGAGGCCTTGGGGCTGACGAGGCCAGCTGGCGTCTCTCCTGGTGAGGCCTGTGGTCCTGTATGCACTGCACAGGCTGTGCACTGGCGGGGGTCATTCCTCAATGAGAACGAGACGCCAGGGGCCGAAGGACCAAGCATTTTCCTTTCCAGTGCTGACAGTGGTCAGCCTCAGGCCTGCCTCACCCACGCTGGACCTCACAGGGCCTCCTGACTCAGGGGAGAGCATTGAAGGGGCTCCGTGGGGGTGGGAGCCCAAGTTCTGCCACATGCAAGCTGTGCAGCGTTCGTGGGGTTACTTCAGCTCTTGGTGTCAATGCTGTGTCTTCAGGGCTTAACCTGGGGCAGCTCTCTCTGTGTTAAGTGACAGCTGAGGGGTAGTCTTCATGCCAAATGGTTGATTTGTTGCAAACTGAAATAGCCAAACCATTTACCCTTCAGCGACTCCACATCACGGTGTCCCAGCATGTCAGTAGACCTACATTCCATAGAGTGTTTTATGTTGTTGTGCCGACAAGTTAGAACCAAGTCATAGATGACCCTTCAGTGTGTTTTCAGAGGCTGTAAATTGCACAGGAGGAGATTGTCCATCTTTCTCTCATGGAGCAGCTCTTGGATTCGAACCACTTGCCTTTGGGTTGGCAGCACGACTCCTTACTATCAGGTCACTAGAGCTCCCTCGTAGGGTGTTAAGTGGCTGACTCATCACAAGTGGATTGCCAGGCCTTTCTCCTGAGGTGCCTCTGGATGGATAGAAGCATCAGCGTCTCAGCCCCTGACCTCATCAGCTATTTTTGCGTCACACAGTTGTTTACAGTTGGTCTGTGGAGAGGCACGGTGCACTCGTCAGTAAGCGGACGCAGATCTCTGAGGACATGCTGTCCCCAGGACGGAAAGCCTGCTGGCTTCTGTTGGGGAGAGTTTTGAAGGCCTCCCTACTAATGTGTTGGAGGATCTTCTTGGGAGTCCTCAGGGCTCCAGTCAAGGGGGTGGCCTGTCCCAGGAGGGGAAGCAGGAACATGGTGATGGGACAGTGTAAGCCCATCTTAGAGGTCCACCTGGGGACAGGGGCTTGGTGAAGTGGGTTGGAGGAGCTGCCTCTCTGAGGCGTTTTAAATTACAAGTACCTCGTGGAAAGCGCTGTAGCCTAGATAAGTGGAGGACCTGAGGCCAGTGGACTCGGGAGACGGTTGCTGAAGATGAAATGAATTATGCAGATGAAGCCCTAGAGTGGCTCGCAGGAAGCCCATGGAAAGCGTTAGCCGTGGGTTTATGTCCACCCCTTCAGTCCCATGGTCATCCTGAGGAGGGCGGTCAGGATGCCCACTTCATAGACGGGGAGCTGACTCACTCAGGACTGCCCAGCTGGCTGCCAATGAGCTGGGGCTGGAGCTCAGGTTGCTGGAGCCCTTGCTGCCCTACTCTGCTCATGGGGAGTCAGCGTCCAGGCATGACTCCAGGCCCTGACCATCGAAGGGTCTGTTTGACTTTTTGTCATCATCCTGGGGCCAGGCTGTGTTGATGCCAGTGCTGTCGTCAGGGCCCACTGGAACTTTCTGAGCCATCCTGGGGCTGGGCTATGTTGACGCCAGCTGACGTCAGGGCCCACTGGAACTATCTATCGCCATCCTGGGGCCGGGCTGTGTTGATGCCAGCGCTGTCGTCAGGGCCCACTGGAACTATCTGTCGCCATCCTGGGGCCAGGCTGTGTTGACACCAGCTGACATCAGGGCCCACTGGAACTTTCTGAGCCATCCTGGGGCTGGGCTGTGTTGATGCCAGCGCTGTCGTCAGGGCCCACTGGAACTTTCTGAGCCATCC